CTGCCTCCGCTGCCCTCTGACACTCGGAGCTCATCAATTACAGGTTCACACACAGTGACCGTCGCCAAGGCACCGCTGCGCTGGCTTGACAGTGCCCAGGTTGTAAAGTGCTGAACACTGAGGAAAAAACGAAGGAAGGTGGAGCTGAAAAAAAAAAAAAAAAAAACAACCGGGTGCAAATGAAACCCTGAATGTTTTAAGTCCATTTACCTTCAAGGTCTGAGTACTGGTGTGTTGTGTAATTGTGTGTGTTGAAGGAACAGTTGTGTAATTGGCACAAATATATTTCTGTCTTGGAACTTTTTGACTTGCACTCCTAGATCTAGTCCAGTGGTTTTATTCCGTCCGTTCCCGTCGCTGTGATTGTTGTTCCTGCAGGTTTAATGAGATCTCGTGACTTCACAGGTTTTTGACGGTTGCCAAGTGGAACAGCTGTGTGCTAGTACGGCTTCACTGCCAGGAGTTTTACCTCATCATCCCCAAATATCCTTCATTTCTAAAACAAATATGATTTCGTTCAACAGATAATAAAAAAAAAACATAACTAACTGCAACACCAAAAATATCTGCACATGGAGCGAACGAGGACTGAAGTGAAAAAATCCAAAGTTGATGAACGGTGAAGTGAAAAAATCCAAAGTTGATGAACAGTGGTTGTATTTAAACGAGGGATGTCCGATTTTAAATGTTTTGCCGATATCTGATGTGCCAATATTGTTCGCACACTTAAGTTCCGATTCCGATATCACCCGATACCAATGAAGGTCTGGTGATATTTATGTATTTATCTGTACAAACCACTGTATGAGTATGAGGTTAATTAAATGAGCTGCAATGCTGCCATCTAGTGACTTTCACTTTAATATACAGCCGTTTATCCCCAAAACTATTTTAAGGGCACACATCATGTGGTGAAACCCAGGCTTTGAGTTATCAGGTTTTCATTATCGGAGGTAAAACCGATAACGATTCTTACAGATATTACATAATGTGCTAATATCAGGACGATATTATCGGTCGGCCGATATATTCGGACATCCCTAATTTGTGCAGAAATGTTAACTGGGAAGGAAAATATATTTAGTGAAGGAAGAAACAGTATTGAAAATTACACATAATCTCAACAGGAGACGTTCTCACTGGAAGACGACTGTAGTTTTTCATCAGCCTGAGAACGTTCTTCACTCTGATCATTAACATCATATCCACCGTTGTTTTCCTACTGTAGCCCCTCCCCCCCAACCTCCCCCGCCCCCAGCTTCTACACTCCCAGTCCTGTATTTTACACCTCTGCTCTTTATTGTTTTTAGCCAGTTTAACCATATATTTTTTGCCTTTTTGTTCATTTGTAAAAGTGAACATTTTGAAACCCTGACTTGAACGATTCCTTAAACGGAATCATTTTCATCATCAGAATAGAAACATCCAGCATCTTCACAAGTGGGAAGAAAAAATGGTAACAAATCACATTTCTGTATGGAGGCAAAGTGGCTCTGTGCACAGACGGGTCCTTAAAAAGTGCTGGACCAGTTGCCAAATTGAGCCTCTGCTGTCAAGGGAGGGAGAAATGAGACTGTGTGAGAGCGTGTGTTTGTGTCTCTTTAAAATCTGTAGGAGGAAATGTGTGTGTGTGTGTGTGAGGATGATCTGTCTCCCCTCACACACGCTGCAGCCGAGGACAGTGACGAAAATGACCCCTGGCATATGCAAATGTCTTCTGATTCACACTGGCAAGGCAGAGTGTGTGTGTGCACATCAGTGTGTGTGTGTGTGCGTCAGTGTGTGTGTGTGTGTGTGTGCAGCTTAGAGGATGCCTGTGTGTAGGGGGATGTTTATCTGTGGATAATTTTGGTCGTCTCCACCACTACCCCGGGTTTGCAAGGATTTGTGTTTGGCTAGCTGAGAGCTGGTGTGTGTGTGTGTGTGTGTCTGTGTGTGTGTGTGGATTCTTACTTGGATCAGACTTGGAAAATGTGTCTCTGTCCAGGAGATTTCTGAAAAACAAGGAAACAAAGAGACACATTAGCGTCGGAATGACGTGCTCATCTTTCCAACCGTCTTTATCTGAACTCCCGTTCAACTATAATTAAAAAAATAAAAAATATTAAATTCACAGGTATATATTTTGATAGTACCCACAAAACTCTCACAGTTTCAAAACTACAGCTATAATTTTTTTTTTTTTTTTTTTTCCTGTGGCGGTGACAGCTCCTCGTCTCGGCTCTGTCATGGCTGAGCGTGACGTCTCACAGACACTCGTTTCCTG